AAATGGGGGGAGAAAAGGAAAGAAATTGGGAGAGAAAGGGAAGAAATGGGGGAAAAAAGAAAAAAAGGTGGGAAAAAAGTGTAAAACAGTGACTTTTGATAGCAAAAAATGGTGATTAAGAAAAAAATGGTGGAGGAAGGGAAGAGCTGGAGGGAGATGGAGGTGACTGGGGAGGAGTTGGGATAAAGGGCAGGGAAATGGGTGGGAAAAGGGAAGGACTGGGAAAATGGGGGGAGGAGGAGGAGAAGGGGGGAGGACTGACCTAGCAACGGGATGAGTTGCCACAGCTCCATCCTGCTCTGTGTCCTCCTTGTCCGGTGGCTCCTTCCCCTTCCCAAGTCCTACCACGTGACCGTCTGAAACCCTCTGGAAAAAGGGGAAGAACCCCTGGAATCTGGTGGGAAGTTATGACATCCCTTCCTGGGGCCTCGCCCCAGGATGTCACCAGCGGGTGGTGACTGATGACTCAGCTGGGGGTAGTTGGGCAATTCCAGAGGCTTTGGGAGGGATCGATCATAAATTTGTGGGGTTTTAGAAGTGGGAGGGTCCTAAAATCTCTGAAACAACTTTTTTTTTTTTGAAGGAGGGTGGGGGGAAGAGGAGAAATCAGGTGGATCAGGGATTGGGGGAGAAGGTGGAGGGGGTTTGTGGAGTATTTGCAGGAAAATGGACACCTGGTGAACAACCCATGCTACCAACTGTGAAAGAAACCTCAGCCTTCCCATGGGAAGAACACTTGGTTTACAGTTAGCAGTTGTAAACTTAGGCTAACTTCCCATGAGAATGGAATTAGTTTATAGCTAACTTGAACAGACTTCCCATGAGAATGGAGTTAGTTTATGATCAACAACTGTTCCATGTTATGAGAAACTTCGGTGGGAGTTGGTATCCAGGTGCAAAAACATCAAACCTGCATCTTGTCCAATGAACATTAGACACGGACTCATGGACAGACTGATCTATCCAATCCCCAGACTTTAACCCTGCACCCACGATGGTACAAAAATGTATAAAATGTGTGCTGTGTGTCTCAATAAACGATTCATTGCTTAATCATATTGGTTGTTGTGATGAATCCGTGCTCTTGCCGTCAATAAGTGGCGCCCAAACAGGGACCTCGACTTAGCCATTTTTCCCCGTGGACCCTGTCGGCGGGACCTGGATGAAGGAACTTTTCGGCGATTCTCGGAGGAATCGCAGAGAGACCTCTGAAGGAGGATGGGATCGGCAGCTACTGTTTGCCTTTGAAAACCCGGACAGAGGATTGGCAGCGGGGAACGGAGTGCAGGAAAGCCAACCGATAACAGGGCTGCCCTGACCTTGGAAAAAACAAGCTCGTGTCGACAAGGACAGTTCGGAAATCTCACCCTGTACATGTGAGTGGTTGGGTAGGAATGGGGGCCTCTCCGAGCAAGGAGGAGGAGGCAGTTATTAAACTCCTACAACATATACTCTCTAAGAGAGGGATTACATATGAAATGGCTGCTCTCAAAGGGCTGTTAAACTGGGCTCGAGAGCAGGGGCATCTTCCCACAGTAAATTCTGCATTTGAGATCCGGGTATGGGACGACATAGGAAAAGACCTGTAGGAGGGACTTACGAAAGGCTCTAAAGAACTTACTCGCTATGGTCCATTGTGGAGGGTACTAGTAGAAACTTTAAAATCCATGAAAGCTGAGGGGAAAGTTACTGCTTCAGCGTTTGCCGCGTTAGTAGGAGGCGAAACCGAAAAAAAGGACAGCGGCACTGAATCGACTTCCCAGTTACTCTTTGCCGTTCCCCCGATTCCCCTGCCAGCTAGTGCTAAAGCAGCGGCTCCTTTGAAATCGCCAGCCGGTGTTTCCGAGGGGACGAGCGTTACCGACGCCCTGGTCCCCCGGGAAACAACGTCCGCTACTAAACTGCCCGATGAACCACGGGAGGCAGTGTCTGCTCCTGAACCATCCGCTGAAGGCACAGAGGGAAAGAGTGTTCCTGTTACATCGATTTGGTGAAAACGATCCAAGCCAGCAAAGGTTCTCCCCCTGCGAGACCGCTCTCTGCTGAGGAAATCGACTTGGCATCAGCGGAACAAAAAGGAGGAGAAACTCGCGATTCCACGTGCAGAGCAACTTCTTCATCTCGATCGTCGTCACTCCACGTCCCTTCGTCTCCAAGTTCAGACTCTGACAACAGGTCAGAAGCTATGAAGGATGAGATGCAGATGAAGGAGGTGTTATGATGCCTGAAGGAGATGGAAGTCTCGGTGGCTCCTCTGGTTGCACAGAGGAGCTGGGGACGGGACGACCCTCCCGCGCCCACTCTGTCACTGCCAAACCCTCCTATCAGTGCACCAACGCAGACGCAGACCCCTTTCAACACATTCCTACCACTTCCCCCTCCGCCACGGTTTGTGCGACCAGAGCGAGGGGGGCAGGAGAAGGCTGCGGGGAGGACGGAGCGTGAACGGGCTGCCACTTGCGACCGCAGGCTCTTTGCCAGCAGGCGGAGGCTCTCTGCTGCTTGTGACCGCAGGCTCTTTTCCTGTGGCTGCCCGGGGGCTCGCCGTCGCTTTCGGGTGACAACTCTCTACCTGCAGGGGGGAATTTACTGTCTGCGGGCGGGAACGGATCGCTGGCGGGAGGGGACGGGCTGTCGGTGAATGTAGGGGCACTCCTGCCGAGCGGGACAGCGCTGTCACCAAGCGACAATCTAGGTGTGAGCGGGTTACTGGTGGGCGAAAAGGTAAACACCGATTGTCCGGTTCGGAGGGGGAAAAGAATTTTGCAGGATGCTATGATAGAGGGAGAGTTTTTACCTATAACTCCTGAAGCTTTCCCCGCTATACTCGATGCGGGCGGAAATAAGAGCTGGCAACTGGTAGATTGGAAAATGTTAAAGGAAGCTAAAGCAACAATTACTCAATACGGGTTAAAATCAGGTTACACCACGTCCATGTTGCAGCATCTGTTTGTTGCTACTTTGCTAACTCCCTATGATATTAGGATGATGATCACAACCTTATTGTCTCCGCATCAACAGCTACAATTCTATCAGAAGTGGCAAACTTTCTGTGAGGCAGCTGCTGCGACTGTTAGACAGCAGGGAGATCCACTTTATGGGGTAACATCTCAGATGCTTTTAGGGGCTGGTCCTTTTGCACGGGTGGAGTGGCAGGTATGGTTTGCCAATGAGGTTTTGCTGCTAAGTCAGGAGCAAACCCACAAGTCCTTACAGTCAGTGCAGGATGACAAACCAACTCCATCCTTTTCTTCGGTGAAGCAGGGAGCTACAGAACCTTTTGGTAAATTTATTGACCGGTTACATAATGCAATAGGCTCAAATCCTGATTTAGATGATGACATGAAAAGTAAATTTCTGACTCTGTTAGCTTATAATAATGCTAACGAGAAAACAAAATGGGTTTTGAGTGTTTTGCCACGAGGTGCTACGACAGGCCAGATGTTAGAAGCAGCAGACCAGATGATCGAGCAGGAAAAGGTTGCCTATATGGTTACAGCCTTTGAGGCAGCTGTAAAGCCTTTAGTACCAAAGAAAGATAAATCAGACAAAGGGAAAGTCGATAGGGAGTGCTATAACTGGGGGAAAAAAGGGCACTTCAAAGCTCAGTGTCCTGCTGGTCAAAAGAATGGTTCACAAGGGATTGCTGTCACCAAGCGGTGTGAAAACTGTCACTTAAAAAATCATAACACTTTCGAGTGCAAGAAGAAGGGAAACGGGAAACTGAGCGCACCCGTCCCTCACGCAATGACACAAAATCAGGGTGCCTGGACAGCTGCTGCGCAACCACCTCCGGTAGCCCCGGGGTGGACGTGGTAACAGCAGTAGACGTCACTCTCGAGACTCAGGAAGTAGTGCTGATAGACTCGACTCTGAAAGGGCCCTTGGGCTGAGGTCTTAGTGCATTACTGATAGGAAGATCGTCTGTGTCTCAACAAGGTATCTTTGTTATTCCAGGATTGATTGATGTTGATTATTTAGGAGTCATCAAAA